ATATATAAGTGGTTTGTAATGAACACAGAAATAGATAACAGTTCTGCCATAATTTGGTAGGCTCTTACAGCCTTTTAAGTAAATCTGAGCTTAGTTCTGACCCTTTCTCTGGGTTATCATTACTCAGTTTATACCACAGCCTTTGTTCTGAGAGAAGGAAGAAAGCTGGCTTCTTACTTGAACACCTGGCAGTTACCTGAGAGCGCCAGGGGACAGTTTTGACTGATTTTCACAGAAATGGGCCTGATAAATACCTTTTTAGCAAAGCATGAAAATACCGAATGTGGTTTACTGTTTTTTGTTATGCCTCCCCCTCCAATTTCAGGTGGAAAGAAGGTGGAAATGCTAAGCGAGAGTAGAGAAGTGAGGCAAGTTTAATGTCAAAAGTAGCTTGCAAAGCTATTCAAAGAAATGCAATTTTGCTCTTGGCCACAGAAAATCTTAGATGCGTGTATCACAAACCCTCTGTTGTCGTGATGAATTGTATTTTTGGATGCTTGATTTGAAATCCTGAGGTTTGACTTGCAGAAGTGCTAGACTCTCACAGCTGCACTTGAACTCAAAGCAAACTATGTTTTGACAATGTAAAGTATAGCAGCAGTGCTAGATCGTCTGAAACATCCAATTCCAGACGTTTCCAGCTGGCTGTTCTAAGTTACAGGATACCTTTTGGCCTTAATCTCTCCATGGCTCGCTCGAATCCCCAGGAGCGCTGTGGAAAGAAATTTATTCCCATTGGTGAAGCATTTTGATCCTGCACTAGCAGGGAATTAGCTCTGTAGGAGCAGAATTTGAATTGTGTATAGTAAAGAAGAAATGAGGCAAGGCGAATATCAGAACATGGTCTAGGTACTTGGTGGAGGGAACCCCATGCGTGCTGCATGTTAGGCGAGGTACACGTTCTGCATACAAATTGCATGAACAATTAAGACAGCCTCATTTTTTAGGTGTATATAATGTGCAAAAGTACACTGAATTAAACCTTTGCAGGTATTTCTTAATGCCTGGGTGCTTTGAAGTGCTAACGTTCAGTTAGCGTAATTTGTATGTACAGTTTAACAGTGCTGGTGCGTTGTACGTAAAAGCTTTAGCCAAGATTATGTTAAGTACTGTGTGGACTGCTTCAGTGACATATTCCATGTCCCAAAAAGCCCACTATTTGTGGACCTGCGAAAGGGTAGGTGAAGGGGTAGTATTTCTTATTTGAAGTGTTGTTGCATAATACAGCTCTGACGTTCACAGGAAATTTTGACTGGGGAAGAGGGCTAGAGCTGGTATCATTTGTATAACAGTGAACTTTGGAGTCAGGGTTTCAAAGCCTGAGAAGTCATTGATTGATTTGATTTATTTATTTACTTTGTAACAGCCAAGGTGACCTCTTGTTTAGGCTTTCTTTTCTTATATCTGAATCATTTGCAATGTATTTTGTCTGACCTTGGCAATATAATATTGTCCTATTCATATCTGTCTAGAATACAGTCACCAAGGTCACTTTTTTACCCTGTTGTTTTGGACTCGGTCTCAATCCTCCCGCTGTTCCTCTTGAATCATGTCAATTATAAACTACTTGCCTTTGATTTCTAGACCCTACTCTTTCCGTGTCATATCTCATTTGGTTTGGAGAAGTCACCTCTCTTCTTCATTGGGCCTTTTGGGCCAACTCCCACTGCCTTTCATTTTAGTATTTTGTGTGCACCTTCTTGCTTGTTCTCCTCCTTCCATAAAACCTGTCTCGTTGTTCTTACTCAGACCCCTCCATCAGAAATACTGTTGTCCTAAAGGATATGCTATGCCTGTTGGTAAGACCAGTATTCTGTAGTTGCCTCTGTGTGGGGTTTTTGTTTGTTTGTTTTTCCTTCCCCTATCTGCCTGAGCATGCCTGGTTTTGTGCAGCCTTAGGGTTTTGGGGCAAGGGCTGCCACTTTATTGTGCTAGTACAGTGCCTGACACAGTGGACTAAGGCTCCTACAGGCCATTATAAGAATAAATTAAAAATAACTTTAAAATAACGTCAATGGGCTCAGGAAGAGCAGGAAGGAGAGTGGGAAATGTCCTTGTAGCTCTCTTGGATAGGAGAGATCCCCGGTGACTTCAGAAACTTGAATGCATCAAAGGAAAGAGTATTGTTGTGCAGCTTTGACCATGACAGTGAATGTGTACCACTGGCTTGGGAAAGACAGGGAGATGAGAGTATTAAGGTGAGAGTCACCCAATGTGTCGCTCCGTCCCTTCTTTTCACAGGGTTGTTCATCTGGAATGACAGCTGTCAGCATGCGTGTATAAGGGGCAATGTCAAAAAAAGAGCTAGGTGCAGTTCTTCAAAGTAATCTCAGTGTTAAATATAGGATGTCACTGTCTCTAAAACCATCCATAACCCCATGAACTGGTTAGACTGGCTATAATGTCTAGAATAACTCCAAATACTGCGTGCAGATAAAAAGTGGTGATGGCAGAGACGTCAGGGTAGTCAACAAAGTCACCTTCCAGTGGAGAAAAGTGATCGGTTGAAGGCCAGGATATCCTCCTCTGTTCTAGCAGTTGAACCCTTGTGAGTCTGGGGATTGGAGATGATAAACATCCCAAAACACAGCTTTAGAGGACATACCCTGTTTTGCTGGGCACCCACGACTAGCTTTCTGTTGCACTTGTATAATGATACAAATTTTGGAAAGTTCAAGGGTGATTACTTGGTTTGCTTGATAACTCTCATTTGTGTGGAGCCTTCCCTCCCAAAGGGAGTCTCAAGTAGATTACAAATGATAGCACCACCACAATATAGCTCAGCCCAGAGGGGAGGGAAGCAACAAGCGGAGGCACGGCACAACACAGTGCGGGGGAGGTTTTGGCAGAAGTTATCCAAACAAACTTTTGAAAGTTGCATTGCCAAGGGATTCTGGGTTTCCAGGCAAAGATACCACTTTAAAGGTCTTATCTGAATGATCTACACATAGCAAACTAGAGGGAGTCCACCGATCTGATGAATATTTCGTTGCAGTCAGTAGGGAGGGAACTGCATTCATCTGTTTGAGAGGGACAGGGAGGGTTGAAAGAGAGCAGTGTCCTCTCTCCTGAGCTAATATTTAGACAATGCTACCTCTTTTTTTGGTAAATAGTTCTATTTTTGTATTTCTGTGTTTCCCAGAAAGCTTGGAGTAAGGAGTAAGCCCTCCTGAAACTTAAGTATGGTGTTTAGCCCTTGCTGTACAGTCACTTCCCTTGGCAGAGCTGGGCTTGCTGTTCTGAAGCTTCTGATTACAGGATATATATTTTCATTTTTAATTCCTTGGTGTGTCTTTGCTCAAATTACCTCTTTCCTTGCCAGCAGTGTTGGTTAGGTCCCACCACAAAGTAATTACTAGCACTGGAGATGTCCATACTTCTTCCTTCTTCCCGTCGCTCAGCCCTTAGCCAGTGCCTGTGCGCACTATGTGCGTGTGGTCTTAGCAGCAACAGACAACAGAAACGCAGGGGCTGTCAGCTTGTTCTTGCTTTGGTTACCCGTTTGCAGCTGAACTCTGGTAACATCTCACCATCTCGATGCAGTCAGGTGTGCAAGGGTCCTTAATCACTCTTCCAGACTGTTTGTGGCCCCGCATTTCAGTGCTGGGTGAGGCGATTCTGCACACTGCCTCCCACGGTGCTGATGCGGCCTGCAGTTAGTTCAAGGCTGTGTTGCCATGCACTGGCCTCGCTCGCATTTGTGGATGTGCTTGCTCTCTGCTTTCATTGCATATAGGAAGTAAATACCACGTATGAAGGTAGGAGAGAGCACTGGAAGTGATCAGCACTCTTCACTTTATGTATGTTTGTGCTTGGATTGCAACTGCTTGACCTATGGGACATGCCTCTCACAGCTACTACCAAGGCATGGCAGAGGGTTGTGGTGTTCACCACTGGAATGCCGTAAAGCTGGTGTAGGGTACTCTCGTGCAAGAGAAAAGAAGGCCTTATACTACTGAACTTTAGCAATGGGCCTAGATTTTTTTTTTTAAGGCAGATTTGCAACAGCCAAAACTCATCTGTGCATCTGCGTAGTAAAAAACAGGCAGGTTAGTAACCTTGTGGAGCCATTTTAAACATTGAATCCTTCCGAGTTCTTGTTCTTCTGTCATACTTTAGGCCTAGGAGAGTATCACCCTCTTGGGCAAGCCAAACATCTGTCTCCTCAGTGGCTATTTGATGAATGCAAATTGGGAGCAAACAGCTTATTGTACCTTCGTTGTTCCAGTTCTGCAAGGTGCAAGGCAAAGGCTTCATCTTTGTCCAGTGAAAAGCTGCATGGCTTTCTGCTGATTAGTGATTGCAATACATGGGGCCTCGGGACAATTCTCCTAGCACATGATGCATGTTTCATTGCTGCCAGTCAAAATCTGCATCCTGTGCTGTGACTCCCAGATGCTCTGGGGAGGAAATTCGCATGATCACCATGACACTGGTGCTCCTATGAAATTCTCAAAGCCATTACCTTCTTTAATACTTACTAAATGAATCCTTGGGGGAAATGCCTTGAATTTGAGAGAGTGAAAAATTCTCTTTGTTCTTAAAAAGTATAATTAACCTCTCCAGCTATTTGATGGTTGCAAGCAACAGAAGGAGCAGAAGTCTGGCTATACGCTACCTCTACAAGGAGGAATAAAACTGAGTCAGCAGGTATTAATGTGTATAGAACATGGCTCCCAGGCTGCTTTACCCGGTGGCTTGTTTAGTCTTGTTCTGCTACGTGTTAGCAGCTTTTGGCAATCAATTTGCAGTGATTAGTGCTCTGTGTCTTTCCTCACTGCTCCTCACTGTGTCCTGGGGCTAGGATTAGGTTACAGCTCTGAAATGGCACAGTTGTCAGCATTGACTGAGGGCTGGATAGTAAGGACAGTGTTTTGCTGATGGACTGAAATACCTTCTGTGTTTGTTTCCCTTCTCTGAAGGAGGGATGACATTATTTTCATTAGTATTCTGTCTGTCTCTGATCTAAACACTTGGTGTCGAATTTCCTTTCCTGGCAGGTGATCTGGAAAATGAGGAATGGTGTTTGGGTACCGAGCTGACTCCAGCTGCAATAAAGACTGAGCCAGCGTTATGCGAGACAGCAGGCCTTACTCCCTCTGTCAGTCTCACTATCACGGCCACACTGCTGGAGGGGGAACAACCTGAGCTACAGACTGATGCCATGGTACTTGCAGACTTTCTGTTCTCCTCCCTGCACAATTAGACACAGATTCTGCTAAGCCTCAGCATACCAGTGTAGCCTCCTTGGTGCCAATGCTTGTCAATTCAGGGTGCCCGCTGCTGTCTGTTTTAGCATTTCTTAATGTTTGCTGATGTCCCACTGCTGCTGTAAGAGCTTATTTTCAAAAGACAAGTCTGTATATTCAAATACTAATTGCTGGATGCACAGCTTTCTCTGTAGTGCTAGACGGTGCCAAAGCCTGAGGCTCGTGTGTTTCTAAAAACATTTAAACAGTCTCTAATGAACCAGTCCCACCTGGACTGACTAACCCATTTGTCCTACCGAGTTTGTGACAAGCTAAATGTCTTGCATAATAAGTTGCTGTAGTGCTGCTGTGCCTGCCCCAATCAGAACGAGACTTCTCATTTGAAATGACTGGAGAGTTTCCCTGTTTGTCTACTAGAAGTCACTTTTGCCAGATCTATCAAGTTCTGACGTTTTGAACTGCTGCTGCTTCCAAACCAAACTGCCTAATAAGGAACATTTGTGATGCCTTTCTGACCACAGCTGGAGCAGCCAGTGAGCTTTCACAAGGGCTTGGTTTGAATGTGTTTGGGCTAAAGAGAATAAACTGCAGCAGCTGACGGCTACCCAGAGCTCCCCATCAGTGGAAGAAAAAAGTGTGACTGTTCTCAGTCCCCAGGGTATGATATCAGGCCAGTTGGGGTGGAGTTAGGCTGTGTTGTCAATAAACATTCCCAGTTGGTTGTGGATCAGAAATATGTGCAACAGAAATCATTCCATGAGAAACTGAAAACTGAAACATGACTTTCCCATAATCCTCTTGTAGTCTGAATATGCTCTCCCCAGTGCGTGATCTTGCAATAGCTTGAGATGTAAAGAGGGTGTCTTGGGAGTGAGTAACTGGTGGCTCATTGCCATTACATGGATTATATAGACAGGCTATTATGAGAGATTTTGGCTGCACCGAGCATGCTGATGCTAGACTGACTTTATCGGGCCTGGGATTGCAGCATTCGGGAGCAAGGCAAACCCTGGCTGAGGGCTTGGCAACCTGGCACTGCAGGCCTGTTAACAGGGCAAGCCAGTTGTCCTCCGAAGTTTGGTCAGCTGTGGCAGTCCCTATTCCTGTTCCCCCATACTGGTTATTAAACTTAGGTCTGATAATCCAGTGGTTAGTGACAGGCATCTTGATCTCACTCCCAGGTGACAGCTCTCTCTATATTCAGCGATGGCGATGCAGCCCTCCACTCCTGCCCCTGGTGGCTACTGTTTCTCCCCCATTGCAAAGAGCATTCTGTCTCTGCTCGAACCGACCAGGTGGTCCGGCAGATCCTAGCGGCAGCTCTGTTGCTAAGAGAAGTAATTTGAGTGGGTTGCATGCTAGCTTTCAGACTGAAATGTCATCTCTGAGGCATAATCTTTTATTTAGCTAAATATAGTAGTAAGAAAAGCCACAGCAAGAGTAGTCAGGGCAGCATTCTCTCTAGCCTGGCTTAGCAAATTGTGTGGAGAAGCAGTGAAAGTTTTGCTTGAAGCAGAGCAGGAGGAGAAGGAAATCTCTCCATTTATGGAGAAGTCGTCCCTGTATCGTTCTCTTAAGGTTTTAAGATGTGTGCTCTCGGTTCTTAGTCTGTTAATTTTTCTTTTTCTAGATGAAACCACTGAGCCAGAAAGTTCTTCCAGAGATTAAATTGGAGCCACATGAAGTGGATCAGTTCCTGAACCTGTCTTCTAAGGAAGGTCTGTTAATTACCAACCCAAGATGCACCAGAGATGACCAGAATGCAGAATGAACATACCTTACTCTGATTAAATATTTGGCTTCCTTGTTCTCCACGTTAATCTTTAGGCTGAAACTCTTGCCTTCTAGGGATTTAACTCAGGCTGCTAAAGAAACCAGCCTCTGTCTGACCCACTTATACATTTTTCTTTCTTGTTCATCACAAAGAAAATGATCCCTTTTTTGTCTGTTACTTATTAACGATTGTACAGTTGCTGGAGGGTGCTTGAATCCTTAAAGTATGGGATTATTTAGGCTAGAAAAGAGATCAATTTATGGGGACTTTAATGAGGGATAGAAATTACGAAGAGCACAATTAGAAACTTTTCTGTTTTAACCACTTTGTCCTGTGATAGGGAAGCAAGGATGTGAGTTTGTATGAAACTAAAAGTTAATATGCTAAAAAACAGATCTGTTTGTTTTAGTGGAGTTTTTAAGAACCATATGGGTCCTTTTGGACTAGGTAACGTACACATGAGGGAGGAGGGGAGATGATCCCTGTCCACAGTTTGGTGGCACATAATCAGTTAACCCAGGAAGAGTTTGAAAGAACCAAATATTTTGGCTGAAGTTTGAGAATATAACTGCAGCATCTCAGTTAGGAACACCTGAGGTTTTGTTAATGGATTTATTTACGTAGTTAAGTAGAACTGCTCTAGGGAAGGAAGCAAATGGCTTAGAAGGTGAGAAAAGGGAGGAGTTACCTGGACCTAGGGCTTAGATAGGATTGCTCAATTTGTGGCATTACGGGCCTTTTTGTCTTATTAGTTTGTATCATCTTCTGGTAACTGCTAGAGTTAAGATGCTAAACCAAAAGGAGCTCATGTAAAATAGCTTTTTTGTTACTATTTTTCTTCTTTCCTCCCCCACCACCCATTTGATCTTTGCAACTCAAATTCCCAATGCATAAAAGGAGTGGAAGGTAGCAAATCCAGCCCTGCATCTTCCTCCTCCCGTTTGTGATTGCTGTAAATTTATCTCAGCGAAATAATGACTTAGTTTTGGACATCTGCTTAGTTGCCCAAGTAATATGAGTAGGTGAGACATTGCACTGTTTCTCTTGGTCTAAGCCTGTTCGGTCATAAGCAGCTATCGAGTTGCAAATTCTAGCATAGGTTCTTCTGCCTGCAAGTGCAAGGGCACTGGATAGCACAATATGAGAGCAGTTCCTGTGACTGGTGACCTATGCTGCACCTGCTCCATCAGCACATTAAAGCCTTCACTGTCCCTGGGTAGTTACTACTTCCCAGTCATGCCAATCTGTCAGGTCTTTGGGAGGCAGAGTATTTCTTTCATGACCTAGCATCTAGCACATGATGCGCACTCTCAAAAACTGCTTGTTTAATTCATAGCAAAATCAGAAGAGACCACTGGTTTTGGAGATGAAGCACACTGGCTCAGAGTCCTCTCTGCCAACGCTGTTTCCTAGGAGTAGGGAACTGGTACTGGAGAGTTGCACTTCCCCCTCAAAGCGTTTGAGAAGAAGCTCAGAAAGAGAGAAATGACTGTAGCAGATGCACAGAGCTCTGCTCTGCCTATTGAACCTAAAGATCGCTGCTGCTTTTTATTTCTTGCTTGGAGACCTGTGTGCTCTGAGAACCTTTGGAGTTACCACTTGATCTGTCTTTTAGCAGACTGTCCTAGTTCTGGGAGCTGGGTGGTGGTGGTGGCTCTAGTGGAAGTTTGAATCAGCACCTCAAAACCTCGTGTTGTATTTCTCTCTTGCCATTCAGCAGTGGATCCCCTGCACTTGCCTCCAACCCCTCCCAGCAGCCATGGCAGTGACTCTGAGGGTGGGCAGAGCCCAGCTAGGTCTCTCCCTCCTTCAAGCCCAATCCAGCTACAAGCTACGGCTAAAGTGACATCACGTACAGCTTCAGCGCTCTCTAATTCCCCTCTCCTGACTGCACCACATGTGAGTTGGGCTGTTTTTTTCCAGCTTTTTTTTTTTTTTTTAATCTCTGCAAAACTCCAGATCCAGTCATTCTTGTTCACTTATCTGTTCTGTTTCTACAGTAAGTGGCCTGTGCCTCTCCTTTAAGTTGAGACAGGAATGCACAGTGCTCTGTGGCTTCTCTCATCATAGGTTGTGTTTTGCATGAGGGTCCAGCCCTCCTAGGGTCTCCTATCCGTGACGTCCTTCCTACTGTCCTTTTGTCTTGGTGAGCAAATGATGACCTTTAAGGAGAGATTTTTCAGTAGTGCTTCTCACTTGTCTCCTTCCTTATTTGAACCAAGGGGAGTTTTATTGTTGGCTTCAGCGTGTGCAGACCTGGGTCAAAAGCAACTGTTTTGAGGGAATCCTGTCCCGAATATTCAGTCTCTGAAAGCAAACTATCTAAAAGGTCTTACCCTTCCATACATCCCCAGCTGCAAGGAGCTACTGTGGTAGTAGGCAGAGCCCCTCTGAAGCAAGAGAGCTGTTGTCTCTCTTCCCTCACACCTTTCTCTCTAGGGCTCTGTACGCTTACTGTTCAACTATTTCATTTCTATGACACTTGCAGAAATTACAGGGGACCGGCCCACTCATCTTGACAGAGGAGGAGAAGAGGACGCTGATAGCAGAGGGGTACCCAATCCCTACTAAACTGCCCCTGACAAAAGCAGAGGAAAAAGTGCTGAAGAAAATCCGCAGGAAAATAAAGAACAAGGTAAATGTTAGTCTAGCAGCTTTGCTGGGCAGCATCTACTCATATTTCATTTAAAAAATGCTGCGGTAATTATGCAGTAATGGTGTGTAGTACTGCTGAATGCTGTAAGAAGGTTTTTAATAAAACTGTTTGCCTTTGTTTCTAAACACATCCATCAAATTGTCTATCCCTGTGATAGTGCCTTTCTGTCTAGGTATTTACCTGAACACACGAACGTCAGAGTATTTAGAAAGTAGGGTCTTTAGTCGCTGTTGCCTGGCTCCATTTTAAAAACAGTGTAATATTTTACCTTAGGGCAGGCAAAGACCTCTCCCTTCTTCCCAGGGTAATGCAGGTGTTGTCCATTGTTTGAGGTTTAAAATCTGACGTACTTCTGTGCCATAGTGTTTTGATTACTAAGTTCCATGACCTTTAGATAGATGGTAGATGCCAGGCTCTGAAATGCCTTAGGAGTCTTCTCTTTCTTCCAACATGAGGAAGAACTAGTGATGGGGAGGAAAACAGTTTTTCAGACCTGGCCAGCTGACGTGTTCTGATGGACATTTGCACATCTTTGAAGTTAACGCGTTCAGCTGTTGGTTTTACAGATAAAGATGTAAGTTTGCCTGCACTGAATTAGAATTTGCTCCTGCAGTGTAATTTTCCAAAATTTTTGAAAGCAGCCTTATGCATTTTACCACTTTCACGGAACTGGAGTCCTTTAGACTGGAGGGGATCTCTGGAGGTCATCTGGTTCAACCCCTTGCTAGAGCAGGGTCAGCTTAGATCAAGTTGCTAAGGGACTTGCCCAGTGAAGTCCATCAAAGGGTGGAGAGTCCTCAGCTTGTTTCCATATTCAACCAGTGAAAAAAATGTTCTTTAATTGGACTTTCCCTTGTTGCAACTTGTATTTGATGCCTCTTGTTTGATTGCTATGCCCCTCTGAGAAGACTGGCTTCGTCTTCACTACCGTCTTGTAATAGATAGTTGAAGATGGCAGGAGAATCTCCCCTTAGCCTTCTCTTAAGTCTGAACAAATCCAGCTTTCTCAGCCTCTCCTCATGTCGTGTGCTCCAGCACACTTCTTACAGCAGTTGCCCTCCTCTGGATGTGTCTAGTGTGTCCAAAATATTTATTTCAGAGCCTAGAACCGGACGCAGTACCCCAGCCGTGGTCTTGCAACTGCTGAATAGATGGGAAGGATCACTTCCTTGATCTGCTGGCTACGGTCTTGCTAAAATAGCCCAGGATAATGTTGACCTCCTTTGCCATGGGAGCCACACTCCTGACTCATGTTTGGCATGTTGTCCATCAGGACCCACAGGTCCTTTTTTACACAGCTGCTTTCTACTCCATGCATGGTTTTTTCCTGTCCCACATGCGGGGCTTTGTTCTGGAATCTCATTCTAGTTCTTTTAGTACTTGTCCTAAGATCTTCTCTCCAGATGAATCTGGTTTACTGCTGAAGGTAAGATCTGTAAGAGCAGGGAATGATTTTTTTCTTGTTACTGAGAGGAGCAATCTTGCTTCAGGATGTGGAAACAGACCAAGTCAATGCTCTGCTTGCCAGGAACAGAAATAAGAATAACACAGAGGCTTGAATCTAACAACATCAGGGCTTTTTACCAGTTTATTAATTTGTCTCTGCTGCCTTTTTTTCCTATGCAAATATTTGGTGTTTTTCATCCTTTTTTTTTTTAATTTTTCCTTTAGATCTCTGCTCAGGAAAGTAGAAGAAAAAAGAAAGAATACATGGACAGCCTGGAAAAAAAGTAAGCCTCCTTCCTGTTTCAAATGGGCCAATAACACCAGTTGCTGGCATGGGAAGGGATCCAGCTGTTGATGCACAAAGTGCTGTTTCGTGCACAAAGTGCCAGCTGCCACCTCGTGGTTATGACTGAGAAAAGGCTTTTCCTTTGGCTTCTGCTTATACGCTCGCTGGGGTGGTGCACATGTAACCATGTCTACTCAAAGACATTGCTAAAGTGCTGCAAAGACCTTAAACAAAGCAAGACCCATCTGCTGTTAGCCTTTGCCTCGTGTGACGTTGTTGGCCTAGTGGGCAGGCGATGTCCAGGGAAGGGTAGGTTCCAAATGAATACATTCTGTTTGTTAGTTCAGGTGGAGATAGAAATAGGAAGTGGGTGAGTCAAAAGTCCTGGGGGAATAAGCGGGAATAAGGAAAACAGCCTGTGACCCATCAGCTTCCTTTAGCAAGAAGATCCCAAACCTCCAAAGTGAGTGATTTATAGCTCAAATTAATATTTCTTCAAAGAAACAAGGTTGTTTTTCTGTTTGTTTGTTTTTTTTTCCTCTTATGCACTTCACCAGATGGATCTGTTAAACCCTTTGTACCATCTTTGGTGATAACCTCGACATAATTTCCTTTTGTTCTTCTTAATATCCTTATGAAAGAGCCTCACTTTCTCAGACTTTTGTGGGGCTCTGCTGTACGCATACAGAAAACAAAGATATTTCCCTATTACCTTTTTCTTTCTTGAAGCTATTCAGACTGGTCGTATTTTAAAAGTCCCATATTTTTACTTGAAACTCTTCTTTTGCATGTCATGTGGTAACCTCCTTTAGGTAGGGCATTGTGGAAAAGAAAAATACTCTCTTGGAAATGAATCTTCTGGCTTTTTAACCCCCGTAAACTTGAAATTAAAGGATCCAATTTCAGAAGCATTGCATTTGTTAACTTGCATGGTTCCTCATCTTAACAATGAAGTGCACATATGGTATACCCTTACACAACATACCTGCTAACAGCATACATGTAGCATGTTCTGTGACTTCTAAAGTCCCTGTCCCATGGCCTGATGCCCAGGGAAAATCCAAGCAAGGTCTTTGCCCTTTCTATTCCAAGGGGCAAAAAGTAGTTACAGTCCATTCTGAAAGCATTACACCTACTGGGACGTAGTTCGGAGCACTGTAGGCAGATGCTGTACAACTAGTAGGATCTTTTGCAATGTCATTTACACCATGAAGTATGGTTAAAGCATCTGAATAAAGTTGATTGGTGTAGCTTTTCATTAACTGTAGGCAAGACCATAGATGTCTTTGTGAAAACGAGTTCAGTTTGTTTTACAATCTCTGAAGTATAATAGATAATCTGATTTTAAATTCATTCTTTTTTCCTTATGCTGTCTCCAGAGTTGAGACTTGTTCAAATGAAAATAGTGAGCTGCGTAAGAAGGTTGAAGTCCTGGAGAATACTAACAGGTAAAGTGTGAGGGGAATAAAGCAAAACTGTAACAGTACAATGAAATATGAAAATGTGAGAGTTAAGAGTTCACTTGAAATATGTGTTGTGCTCAAGAAACCTCTTATCACCTTTCTTTGGATTCTTCCACTTCCCAAGAAAAAATGATTAGTGGTAGACAACAAAAAAAATGCAACCCAACTCTCTAAACTGTCTTTTGTTAGAGAAAGACTGTCTTGACAGGAGGCCTCAGGAGGAAAGGCCTTGACCTCGACTGTTACCCTGAGCTCTGGAGTGCAGGAGCTCTGAAACTCAAGAGTCATTTATTAGTTTGTTCTTCTGGACTACTAGATGTCATTGCAATTACTGTGTCTTTCTAATCATCTGACACCCCAGAGCTTCTTTCATTTCAGGGAGTGCAACTTCCTTTGGAGAGAGAATCAACTTCTTCATTTCTGATCAGCGGGCTTATATAAACGGTTGACTCAATGGTGGCTTTCTCAAAGGACATGTGGCAGAAAATGTTCAAAACTTTAAATAGGACATTAGCTGATAGAGAATAGTGTCAGTTATGGTTTATGCTCAGTGTGCTCTCAAATGATAGCAAATTCCAATGAGTAACCGCTAGATGAGCCCACCGTAAATACCTTCATAGTTGGAGGCATTTGTAGTGATGGTTGAATATTACCGTTGAACGTGATGGTAGCACTGAATTGTAGGAGGAGGCTGAGTTTTGAAGATAAGACCCACGATCATGAAAAATGGCCCTAGAGTTTGTCTGGCAGCCAGCATATTGCTAATTGAGTGGCATGTGTTGTTTCTAATGTCCGGATCCAGTCTCCAGATCCAGTCTCTAATTTCATGGAGCCAGACCCTGTAGCACTATAATTTGCTGGAGAGCATCTCCCACACACTGCTCATGCATAAAGACATCTGCTGCTTGTTTGAAGAGAGCCAAGCCGTTTCTGTCTCTCTTTTGAGCATCTTCCTGTAGTATTTTACATACAAGAACAAGGAATTGCTATGTAGGTGTAGAGTAGGGCTGTAAGTCCCAGTATGTGTCCTACAGCAGGTGATGAAACCAGCTGCTGTAGGACAGGGTGCAAAAGTCATAAAGTGAGCAGCTGTGGGTGAACCACTCAGTGACAACATGTTGTCAAGCCTCGAGAATTACAGCCAGCTTTTTCCATCTCATGAGTTATTGCAGATGCAGTCATTAAAACAGCTCTGTTAGTATGGTCCTTCCTTTTAGACAGGATCTTTAGCATCTTCTCTATTATTTGGTAATCTTAATTCTGTCATGCCAAATACTCTAAAAACATGTAGCTACCTAAGACCTAAGTGCTATTATCTCTGAATCCCTCATACTCTGGGCATATGGAATGAGTCGCATTGTTTTCTTCCCTCTGCAATAGCACTGATACTGATTTGTAATCTCCTGCAGAGAAGCGAATGTTCCTGCCCCACTGCACAATGATTCTTGTATTTTGTGGCAATGCTGATTTGGCTATTTAGATGAAAACTGTATCTAAAAACTGTTAAGGTTGCAAATTGAAGTACTCAGAAATTTGTAAAAATTTCATCAAATCTTGAATTACATAACACTACATTGTGGGTTTTTTTGAAATGTCTCACCCCAAAGAGCCTCTTTCTCTCATTTAGAGTATATTTATGCAGTCTTTTTACCTGATTCAGAAAGGTTTCAGGCCCTTACTTACTGTACTTCATCCACTTCCTACAAGGAATTCAAAATTATCGATTTCCTCATTGGTATTTGCACAGAGCCTTGATCTGGCATCCAGAAACCATTCAGAAGTTTCAGAACTTGTGTTCACAGCATCCTATAGCTGGTAGTTCTGCTTCCTGTTTACAGACAAGGATCAAAGCTTAAGGAAGTGAAGTTCAAAATTATGCAGTGCTAGTTTTTTCTTGGAAGCCCAAATTTAAACGTTTAGGACCTAGTATCTAGCACGGAGTTATATACACAGGCATATCTTATTTAGTATGCCAAAAGCAGAGCCCCAGTTGACTTCAGTTGTAGCTTTGAGTGTTTAATGCATTCAGAAATGAAGATATGATTGAAAATATCGTGTAAAAATAGACAGACAAACACTACAGCCGTTCTTTCATTGTAAAAAACAAAACAAAACAAAAACAGACAAAAAAACCAAACAACATCCTGAGAGGAGAAGAAAGATAACAGGGAAGTAAGGACTGTGATTACATGTAAAAATGTCATGCCTTTAGTATGGACATAGCACAAAGCTTTTTTTTTTTTTCTTTTTCTTTTTTCCTCTTTGCTGGAAAATTGGGCTATAGCTGCTCTCGTAAAGGTTCTTGCCCCTTTATGTGCAGTCAGTTGAGATGGCGTTTTTATATTATGGCTGGAGTTGTGAGGAAACTGAAGGGGAATTTCCAAAACATACCACTATTGAACAGCAAAATTTCCTTTCAGTATGTGCAATTAGTTTTTCTGAACGTATCATTCTTCTGTATATAGAAAGTATTTTGTACAGTTACATACCTAAGACTACAGGGAAACTCCTGCTTGAAATTCAAAATCTGCACGCACTAGAATTTCTCGTGGTAAAAATACATCCCTACCTTATTCTGAGTAATATGAAGGATTTTAGCAGAATCCCCTAAGAATATGCCTTAACTTGAAATTCTGGATCAGAAAGATTTTACTGTAAAATGTGCAAGTTTGACCAAATAGTTTGCACCTGGAATCATCTGCCTTGACGTCCATGCATCTTAAAAGGCAAGGCAAGAGGCTGGGGATCCAAATGCAAGGGAGTCTTTAATTCTTATTATTGTGAGTGGGTGACTGCAGCATTTTTGGCATCTTCTTTATTAGAACACTAGCATATGTTTCCTCTTCTAATTTATGTGACTCAGTCCCTTAAAAGAAACCCATCCAAGTTCCTTTCTAGACAGTTATTTCAAAACTAAAAAAAGTACATTATTGCTTGCATAACTGTTCTGTCCTGTGCCACAAGTAAGCCAGACTCTCATTGCTTTGGGTTGCATCCGAACCTGTGGGACAGTGCTGTCCTAAGAAGCCTAAACAGAAGGACAAAGGGTAGGAGAAGAAGCTGGCACCAGGAGTTGAGCGGACTTGTCCCTATCACAAAGAAGGCTCAACCCACTTAGGTGGTGGCACCGGCAGTGAAAGCAGAAACTGCCGATGGTCTAAGGATTTGAATATACTCTCTGGCACCAGCAGGTTGTCTAGCTGGGAGCCACGGCTGTTTGGGCTTAAAGGTGATATTAAATCACTGGATATTGCGTGCATGACATAACTGAAATTAAAACAAAACTACTTCTCATAAATTTGTATGTATAAATGTATTTATTGATGATCACTTTCCTAAAGAAGTGATAGAAATAGCATCGAATATAGTCTATAGTTGAGAGGGGTGTAAATATTATTGTCAGAGAGGGACAGTGCATGCAAGTAACTGCTAGAGTTGTGCTCATAGAGTAATGAAAAGCCAGTTGTGTAGCTCTCCCCTCTGACAGGGGCTGGCTGAGGGCCGCTGCTAAAGGCAGCGGCTTTATAAAAACAATTATGATGCTCTTCCATGTCTCAGGCTCCTGCCCAAACCATCGATATAATTCCCAGTCATCTAAAGATCAAATCACAAATCAGTGTGACCCACCAGTGTTTTATCAGCACCAGAGCTGCCAGGCCTCACTGATTTACATGGCAGTTCCTTCATCCAATGCTGGTAAAGCCAGTTTTACCAAATCTTTCCCAAGGAGTGAAGGATTGGGATTTAAGTCACAATGAGACATCTTGCTGCTCGCTTCAGACCACCTTCATAATAGCTGATGGAGCTTGGAAGCCCTAGAGCAGCTGCTTGCTTTTAATGGAGCAGGCCAGTGTTTTTATGCTGAAACATTTTGATGAAAAATTGCTGGATTTTTCCCCCCTTTTTTGATTCAAATGAGAAGAGTTGTGGAATTTCTTACTTTGAAATATTCTGATCTTTCACTGAAAACCTAACTTTGAGATGTGCTCCCCTTCCTACAAATAGGAAAGGCCTAGATGGAAAGAGTATGTTGGAAGAAAGAGGAGAATTATTTTTTTTCCTTTTTAATACATGAAAGTTAGGTTTTGTTCCCTCATAAAGTAGATACATTCTCTGAAAAACCTTGATCAGAATCAACATTGCTTTTCCCCCACCCCAGCCATCTTTTTTTCTTTAAATCAATGTTCACTTTTAAATATAAACACTGAATTGAGGAAGCCTCCCAAGTGGTTAGGTCCTGCAGTGACAAATTTTCCTCTCCTCAATGAAAGTGTCACTGGAAGCAGAGGGGAAGCCTTGACTTGTTCCTTGCTTTAATAGTGAAAGGAGCCCTTCTCAGGATAAACGCGTGATGTGCACGTGAAATCAAGACATCACAGAGAGTGGATTTGCTGGCAGAGTGTGGAAGGGAGAGCAGGAGTCTTCAGTCATTTTACAGTTTTCCTATAAGGTGCTTCCATTGGCAGGGAGAAGCGCGAAAGCACATTCACACCTCCTACCGAGGTGACCCTCTAATTGAATGTCACGGGGAAATGTGTCAGACTCGGTGAAAATAATCTCTGTGGGTGCAAACCCCCTTATGCATGCTGCCTTGGGATTGCGTTTTCTCCTCTTAGAATTTAGGCATAGGCAGTATGTTTCACTTCAAAGCATTCTTGGCCTTCATAGAGGGAACATTTTGATAAAACTTTCCCCTGTTCTTAAAAGCGCAGAACTGCTCCTTTGCCCTCTTATCTTAGTGCATCCTGTCCCTCCAGCCTTGCAGTAACAATGAAGGCAACTTTTCTGGGGGAGGGGAGCCGTTTTGACCTTGGAATGCACAGTCTTCCAGCAGCACTTCAGATCTAAATATAGATTAAGAGCACAAAAGAGTGCATTTTGCTGGTAGCGGGGTAAACCAGGGCTGCTGTGTCATCTCGGAACTAATGAACTTGTATCTTCTGTTGCCTTACTTCTTGCTCTTAGTTTGAAAATGCACCTGTAGCATGTCAGTTCCCAACGTTGAGTCCTTGTCTGCTGAGAAGAAGCCAGTAGCTCTGCTCAGGCAGATAAATTACATGGGGGTGAAAGACCTTTTATGTGAATGTAGCTGATAAAGAAGGTGAGGATGAATCTTCCTGTGTGTGGTATAGACCTCAAAAAACCTGCATAAGCATGGGGTGGAGGAATTAGGCTTTCCAAAACCAAAGCGTTTTTGAATCCAGCGCTCTGGGCCCCCTCTGCCCAGCAGGATTTTTAGATTGGATGGAAAAAGAGATGGGCAAAATGAGGAGAAATGCCTCTGTTGATTTCCATGCCATCCATTAGCTGTTTTCTCACTGACGCCTCCACAAAAAGTGGCAAGAGTGATCTGCATTTCAAGTCTGCTGCTGCTGCCAGCCCCCGAACTAGGGAGGAGGAGCGCTCTTTCCTCCTCGCTCTGCAGAGCTATTTTGTGTTGAGCCCAGTGATTCAGGCCTGGAGCAGGGAGAAGATTTAGTCTTCTATAATAGCACAGAAACTGCACTGTTAAAAAGTCATTGCTGTATAACATAGCTGTTGGCATATGGTGAGAATGTTGTGCGTAGCATATTCTGTGCCAGAAAATCATATGTACCGTGTATGCAAGTCTAACTCTGCAAACCCTGAGCCATATAATTGGTGGAAAGAGGGACTGGGGAGGTGTGTAGAAAAGAAGGGAAGTAGGATGGTCTGATTTGCGGGATGGAAAGTGTCTTCACCTCTTAGTTTGCTGGTGGTCTCTCTACCTGTGAATAAAGGACTGAATTAGGCAAATCACTTTGTTTTTTTAATAGTGAGTTGCAGAGTGCTCTCAACGGCATGCAAGACATCTTTCCTTTATAAGTTGAGAAGAATCTGCTGGCCCAGATAAATCTGTGCCATGAGCATGCCTTGTGCTCATTTCAGAACGCGTGCCTGAAGTCCTTGAATTCCTTAAACCTTAATTAGCAGTGATCATTGATGATTAGAAAAAGTGTATAATAATAGGCAGACAAGTGTATATTGAGCTGTAAAGGCACCTCTGGGTCTGTCCTACAATTAGCTTTTAGCGAGTCCGATCTTAAAATAATCTTTCCATTTTCTCTGACACGCTAACCTTGCCTCTTGCTCTAGCGTTTGACATCGCAGTCGTCAAGGCAGTTGCATAGAATTTAGTGGGGGTTACCCCCTGCATAGGCAGGGCGACTTGCAGAAGTGAAAAGTAAAATTGGAAACAAACAACCGAGTTAACAACTTGATGAAAACTTGTACTATATTTGACTGTGTTGAGGGCAGGCGTTTGGGTTAGTACATCTCTGTTAAAAAGCTTTTATCAAAGGAAAATAGGAACTGTTGGGAAAACCCTGCACCAGTCATTCTTTTGAGAACACTTCCCATTTCAATGACTCGCATCCTGACTGTAGTAATTGATGATGGTACAACAGAAAACACGACCAGAATAACAGAATAGATATTCTCCGGGTCCAGGACTGTTGACTGTGACCACAACTGAGTTCCCATTGTGGTAGGCACCTCTGAAAAAGTGCAGTCAGAGAGGCCACATCAAGCATCTGTTATTTGGTAAGCTGTTGGAGGATTTAGCAAGTAGTAGTGAAGTACTTCAGTTACTAGATACATTTATGGAAAGTGAAGGCTGTGCTTATGTCTGGTTTTAAATTCTTTTCTTTGAAAAAAGCTGTCCAGTTCCCTGTACAGCAGGTTGTCAAGGAAAGGAGGTATATGCGTACCTGTACCATCAGTTAAGAGTAGTTACAAACCTGCTTCTGCTCCTTTTGAAATAATGGCAAAACTCGTGTTGAATTCATGGCATAGAAACAGGTTGTATGGGCAGCTAGTCCATTGCAGAAATAGCAGTTTCAGTTGTTTGTACATTTACTAGAATCTATTTCTGGAAAAACTCTGTAAATACAGTTTTTATTTATGAATAAGAGGCTTCTGAAGCAACGAATGAAGTAATTTTTCAGGGACATCACTTGTGGAAAATGACCTTTTTGAAAGGTCTAGTGCTAAGACCTGTGAAAACTCTGTAAAATTAAAAACATTCCTTCTAATTTCAAGGGAGGATTTTAGTTAGTTGTACCTTATAAATGCTGTATTATTGCCAGGCATGTAAATTGAAGTGAAAAGCTGTTTAACCAGCAAATACATCAGTATGTTTGGTGTTTGTGTCTGTGTCGTCTTTGCTTTTCAGAACGCTTCTGCAGCAGTTGCAGAGGCTCCAAGCCATGGTTGCTGGGAAAGTGTCCCGTTCGTGTAAGGCAGCTAGCACACAGACAGGGACCTGTCTTATGGTGAGTGTCTCTAAAGCTGGGAATTGTAGGGCAATGAGATTGTCTTTCCACTGCTCAAAGGCCTATCGCCTGTTCTGCTAAGCCCCTTGATTTCAAATTCTCAGGTGGGGAAACTTTTCTTGGCAGTTTGACAATTAATTTTGAGTTGGGGGAGAAGCCTGTCTGCTGACGATTAATGGTTGTGGGAAGGCATTACGTTCTGCTGGAGATTTGGCCTATGCTTTTGGTTGGGTGCTGCAGTAGTAAAAGAAGAAGTGCTGGTCCTCTGAGTGACGTGTTTTATTATTTCTTACGGTATTGTATTTGAGAAATGCTGTCTACAGTCTTACAATGAAAATGAGGGTGCCCTTTGATGCTCAGTTCTTTTGATACCAGTAAAAATAAACTTTATCATCCAAATAAAATTATGACTAAGGCTGTAAATCTACCTATGGCCTATTTCAGTAACAGTAGTCAGATTAAGAAAAGGGTTAGAATGAAAGTCTGCTCTCCGCAAACTCAGCCAGCAAGTTCCCTTTATGCTAGAGCTGTAAATTGAAGGAAATGATTTTCAAGGCCTATGCTGTTCTTCTAGGCTGCCAGCCTCTCTGTTTATGTCACTTTGAAGCAAAACTGAGGCCAGCAGCAGAAATAACCTTGGAAGTGCCCGACAGTATCTGTAAAACACACATGGCGGTTATGTCTGCTTTTCAACTTTGGGAGTAAATAAGGCAACAGGCCAAAATGATGGCAGACAGGGCCAGCATTGAAATCTGCCTTTTAGAACACTGAATTGTTATTGTATATGTGCCTGTACTGAGAGACACTGTATGTAGTGATGAAAACAGCCTCAAATGATTGGTTTTAAAAAAGCATCAGGTCTGCTGTGTGTTGATTCTGAGTTTTGATGTGTGTACGTGGGCCATGAGCCAGTCCGCTCACCTCGTCTGCTTCCTCCCTTTGCCAGATGGTGGTGCTGTGCTTTGCAGTTGTTTTTGGCAGCTTCTCTCAGAGCTATGGGCCCTATCCGTCTGCCACAAAGATGGTGTTGCCCAGGCAGCATTCCTCATCAGAGTCGTACACTGACTCCATTGGTAAGTGACAGCCACCCCAGTCTTGCTCAGTGCTTGCTTCACCCTTTGGCCCTTGTTTTCCACACTGCCACCCCTGCATCCTCCCGAGGCACATCTTGCTTTTCTGCTCCTTAGCTGGCTGTATGCTGTTGGTCCCTTTTGCCCTTCTGGCTGGGGTGGAGGTGGGATTCCTTGTGGGGAACCTCTGGGCTCCAGATTTCTCCATGGTCTGAATAATTGCTGTTGCCAGTTGGGAAATGTCCTTCCTTTGCCTCAATTCTGAGGGTGAGCAACAGAGCCTGCTATGGCCCAGCCTGCCCTTTCACCTGGGGCCCATGCAGTGCAGTGATAGAGTTTGGCCTTGGGTGCATGGAGTGGTTGCATGTCTTTGCCATTCCCTATACATACCTGTGTTTCTCCAAAGCAGAATAGCTTGGCAAGCTATGCTGATGGCAGCAGACTTCAAAAAGGTGGGCAAAGCCTTGCCCCACTAGCCTGCTCGGTACTTCTGTTTAAAGCCTCTTTGTTTCTGTTTGTCGAACTAAAGCTAATAGTCTGTAAAAGGTAGCAGGAGAGTTTGATTTCTGCTCAGTGCTGAATGTTCGTATTGTCAGAAAGCACAGCTGATGTTAGCTGGTGTTTCCTTTGCAAGTGTCAACAGAAGGTCCAAGAACTGAGTGGGAAACCGATAATATTACGTACTAGTTAAGAGCTAGTTGCTTTAAATGTACGTTACCAAAGCAATCGTTGCTTTTGCTCTTGCTCTTGCTCTGTGGGTAGTTCAGAACTTTTTGATCTCTGTCAGGACTGTTACTGTGGTATCTTCCCTTAGCCATCAAATTACCTGTTGTTAATCACGATGAAAAGAAAAGACTTTTGCTGCTCTAGTTCTGCTCCGGTGGTTTCCAGTTTCTGACATGACCAAGGCTGTTCTGTCTGAGCTGCCTGTTTCTCATCTGTCTCTTGCCTCCTGTCTTTGTATGCAGTGAGGTCAAGGAGTCTGCTAATATATGAAGAGCCTCACCAACTGGAGGAGTCGTCAAGCCCAATCTCCTTTGCAGATCGCAACGAGAGACACACAGACACCTCCAAATACAGAGCCCTGTCTCTGGAAGCCATGCCAGGGGGACAGCAGGATGATATCATGCAGTTCACAATAGCCAATGAGACGAGGCTAGAGAAATCAGTGCTGCTGGGCCTGCAGCAGCACAGGTGAATGCAGGGTGGGCTGCTTGTCGTCTGGGCGTTCAAGGTTATTTGTGCCTGGAGGCCAGCAGTAAGACTGAGGGCTCTGATATGCTGGGCACTCTGCAACGTGAAGGTTGGTCTCTATTTGGAGAGCTTATAGGCAAAGCTGTTGTTACTCTTACTTGGAGAACTGGTTGCAAGAATGTTTTATTAGCAAAATGGCTACCAAACTCAGTGCACCTGCCAGAAACCTAACCCCTGTTAGCCTGTTAGTTATGCCTTCCCCACTTCTTTAAGTTCTTATTTGTGTGCCTCCTAAAGGAATAAGCTTTTGCCAGTTGGGTGGAAGTGTGAGGTTGTGACTCACTGGGCTTTCTGTGAGGTTAGGGTGTGAAGAGCTGGAGCTTCTCACAGCAGTGATCTTACTAGAGCATAGTGCTTGAGAGTTTGCAGCACTCTGGCTTAAGAGACAGACCTGTAAAGTTACCTGGGCTACTTAACACAGAGTTCCTTCATAATTCATTAATTAATTAAGTACTTTGCCTGTCCTGCCACTGTTCTGTTGGCCCCAGGTCTTGGTCTCTGCTAACAAACAGTAACAACCGCACCAAACAGTGGAGAGAGGGATTTTGTTTGGAAGCATGCTCTTCTGAGGTCTAGGATGAGCTGTAACACCCCACACATGTCTTCTGAAGACCCGTGCCAAAGTTAAACCTGAGGCCAAGAGGATGACTAATTCAATATGTTACCATCCTCCAACTGACAAGTACCTGGTATATAATAAGCACCTTATTAGCATTAGCCGATTCAAGCAGGATATGCACTTTTAAAAATGACTATTCGTGTTAACCTTTGTCTTTCTGTTTGTTTGTTTGTTTGTTTTTTTCAACAGGGTGAGCTCAGAACTAGAAGGAAATGAAACACTGAAGATAATTGAAATAGATAGAAGAGTCAATGCCACCTCTTAAAAACAAACAAAAAAGGCCTTTTTTCTTCACTTTCCCTTTTTCCCCCATATTTTCAACCGAAGGTGTCCCCCTCCCCATCCCTTCCCCCCCCCCGACTTGTCATCCTCAGTGAACCAAAGCACAAAAGAGAGGGAGTTCACCAACTTCTGCATTGACTGGTGTGGCTGTGACTGCTGATGGGATCTCCTGTCCTTGTAACTCCCTTCCTCACTTAACACACAATCCCTGTCTTTGCTTTTATTCCTTTCCTGTCTGATGCTGCAAGGACAGGATTGAGTTATGATGGCAGATGGTGCCAGCAGTGTACTGATGATTGATCTGTGTATGTGCACACATCCTAATCTGAACACAAAGACATTCTGTAGAAGAGTGGGATATGTAAAAGCGATGAGAGCATGTGGGTGATAGGTTACTTGGGAGAAGGAAATCAAGAGAAATAAGAGTTGTGGTGTGATGCTGCTCACAATCAGGCTACAGTTCCATGTCTGCTGGTCTGTAACAACTGAACCTTTTTGAGGGGAGTGAGACGCATGTTCATGGTCTGCTTCTGAAGGCACAAGAATGGACATGCACTTTTGTGTCAACAGCACAGGCAGAAGAGGGTTGCGCAATGAGTGTTGAGTTGTCCTCTCCTAGCTCCTTCTCTCTTCTCCCTTCAGCCCTTCATCATTTAGTGCGTTAGGTTTCTCTTTGGGCTGGAAGTAGTCCTGGTAGGTCTCCCTACTGCTTTGCCATCCTTGTGGAATTCAAGCAGAGATCAGTCACTGTCTTGTCACACTTTGCCTGTGTGGGAGAATTACACCCGTTTAACTAAACCTGTTTAGAAAGCAGGTTTTGTTAAATTTATGGAATGTTTTGGGTGGATGTCCTTTAGTCTGCTTAAGGCTAATCTGTTTAGCTTAAATCAATTCCTTTCCAACATAAACAAAATCAATGTAAGGCTTAAAACAGAAGTGCCTCATGAGAAGACTGTATGGATTTAATTTATTGGCTTCAAGATGCATTGATGGAATTTCTCATGTAGACATGGCTTTAGATTGTTCTGTTTTCCTTTCTTCACCACCCTCCTGTTACTGTTGTAAATAGTATTTATTAGCTTTGCAAGATTTTGTTCAAGCAGCTGCAATGAAGAGAATAGAGCTTCCCTAACCCTGCAAGTGGTCTGGGCAGACTCTGAAACCAGATATACAAAAATCACTGACCACTACTCCCTCCCCCAAGCTTGAATTCCCCAAAGTAAAGGTTAGAAAGTCATGAGTCTCTTCTTTCTCTTGTCTCCTTTTCCAGAGACAACGGGATCTTAGATGAGCCACGTAGCCAAAAAGATAGGGGTGTGTGTAGCCTCAGCTAGGCACAGTTCAGGCTTGTACAGCCTGGGTGTGGTAGATTCTGAACAACTGCATGGCAAGACAGTCCCTGACCTGAAAAGTTGAGTATATAGGCAGCAGACAAGACAGAAGAGGGATGGGATAGGCACATAAGGAGGTGGAATGACTGACCCAAGATAGTGGAAAAACCAAGAGTGATATTTAAGTCTAATCCTGGTCCAGTACTCTTCTTACTCTGTTACATTTCCTTGAAAGCACCATATTATCCCTTGTAGCTGCTGCCTTTGAGGGTTCTCCCTCTCTCAGTACCCTGGTTGTGCCTTTGCTCGAGCTGTACTTCTGCTCACAACTTGTCCTTGGAGTGGCACAGTCAAACCTGCCCAGGATTTCCAGCAGGTTTTATCTAATTACTACAAGAAGGCACTCAGACTCCATAGAGGATGGGTTTAATGTGAAAACCCTAATTCAACAGAGTAATGTCGCTACATTGCAGTTTACCAGAAAAATTCAATTAAAATTTTTTTTAATTGCTCTTTTTTTTTTTCCTCTTTGCATGATAAGGGAAAAACTAATCCAGCCTCACAAGTTATTTTTTACATGTACAGTAGATATTTCCTGCAGGTATTCTATTTTGTAAAGTACCGGGTTTGTATTTTATTATAGGTACTGCCACACCAGCTCCCCTGTTGTTCTTCGTTCTCCTTTCTTAGACTTTCTTCCTTTGCTATCCTCTTTGCTGCCTCTGGGTCTGACTCCAAACTCAGTGAAATGAATGGAAAGAATCCAGTGGATTAGAGTTGGCTTTGGATCAGTCCCCACGCTGCCATTTTAAGAAGGTGTCTCACATCAGTGAGAGTGGAACATGCGCCAGATTCCATGAGCTAACCATGAGTTTTCGTATGCAGGTGTGCTTTCGAAGTTATGCCCTATTTGCCTATACAAGTGCCTTTTTATTATTTTGCCTTTGGTGGCGATGACAGGAGAAACGGCACTGTAGTCCATCTTTGAAGAGTTCCCCTCTTCTCAGAGTGGGTCAGTATCCTCCCCAAAGCTCCGTCCTCTTTACAGTGATTCTGTTGGATACTCTGCATTGTTCTTTTTTTTTTTTTTAAGCAATGATTTAAGGCTCCACATTAATAACGAACACCAGTGGGTATGACTGAGGGTGAGACACAAGGGATGGCGGCATTGTTTAACCACACGAGGTCAGCAAAGCGAAAGGAGAAAGCTGGGACTGACCCTTTGACCGTATGGCTGGCCAGTGTAAGTGGGCATGGTCATAAGGCAGAAAATTTAAAGTGTGGGTTTTTTGTTTTTCAGAGCACCCATAGTTTGCCACCTCTGAGTGAAATTGTCAGTGCTTCAGACTTTGGCAAAACAGGTCCAAGTTCTCAGGCACAACTTTGCTCTTACTAATCTTGCCGCTTGCACTTTGCATAAATGAAAGGCCAGTCTACTTGAGCTCATATTCATTACCCAGTTTAATGCGTAACTGGATCATGTCCCATTGCAGAGATACAGCTAACTTCACTGTACTCCTAGCAACAGACAATATCACAAAATACAAATCACCTCTCTCCCTGAAACCTACTGCATTAATCACCATTGAAGCTTTGCCTTTTTTGTTTGCTTATTTTGGATATATCGGTTCAAATCTGATTGGGAAGATCACATTTTCTTCTGAAGCGTTTTACATTGGTCACTGTCTGGGTCAGGCCACTGAATTAAATCATTTGAACCTGTATGGCAATACTAATATTTGTGTTACTGTTTGATAATCTAGTTCTATAATCTTAATTTCTCTCATCCTTTAAATTATTTTTAGGTACTCTTTTGGGATTGCTTGATCTAGCATGCACATTGCTTTGGGGTCTATTATTAAATATTATTTCTTCATAATAAGGGATTGCCTTTGAAAAAGTATACTTTACTTTGGTATGTTTGTGATGATCTTTTTTTTTTTTTTTTAATCAGAACTGTTTTCTCTTAGACTCTAGAAGCCAAAATAGCTCTTGTGATCACCCATCCATAGGCTTTTATGTGATGAGGACCTCACAATCTCCGGAGTTAGTTATGCCTGTGTTAGATACCTAGCGTGAGGCACAGAAGAGGCAGGCTGCATCTAGTTGCAAGACCTCAGCAATCCAGCCACGGGCTGAGGGTGGATGTTGATGCGCTGCAGCCAACACAGGGCAGGAGCTCTATGTGCTATTAAGGGCAGAGAGGAGCAGTGAGAGGTATTCAGGGAGGATGCCGGTATAAGTGCTTTTAATTAGCTCAACTGTATTACTTGAGGTCTTAGCCTTTTGCCAGTATATTTTTTCCAGTGGTCAGTAACCTGGTGCTGTAGTGTAATGTTTATGTATGCATAGAGTAGGCAAAGGCCTTCCATGCTACTTAATTGCCACTTCTACTAGAGCACTTAAGTGATCCTCAGTGTCTTTAGCTGCACCCTTATGCTGGTCCTCAGCATGGCTTTTTACCCACTAGTAAACTTGGCTTTTGGCCCATAGCACTAAAACGTGTCTAGATCTGTCAGCTCTTTGCTTCTAGGGAGATAAGCTATGAAGGAATGTAGGGCATTATTTTGTTTTTTATATATATATATATATTTAAAAGAATCAAGCACAGGGCACGTGACAATTCTAACCTTGTTACCAGTGCATAGATAATGTATTTTTGCTAGGCTATTTATAGTTCTTTGCTGCACTTCTCTTATTTCATCTGTACCATTCAATATTTTTCAGCAGCATGGACTAATAGTGGATTAAGCTGAGATTCCTAGGCCAGATCCCAGCTGATATAATGCAGCAGCTTCTCACTTACAGCTCTCACAGTCTGTGGGTCTGATCTATACTGGCAGGGGACCTCTTCCATATCTCTCTATATAACGATGTATCACAGTACAAGCTTATTCTTGATTTCTGTAATATGGAGCTGAAAATGAATTAAGAGCTTTTCTATCTTTTTTTTTTCCTGCTAAGAAAAGTCAAGAGCCCCCTGCCCCAAACTACCAGCAATGGATTCTGTCTAGACACATTTAGAATGTAGGTCAAGTAAATGGCTGATACTAATTGCAACACTGGGAGGGATCTCCACAGAGTATTTGGGCTCTAGATTCTAGCTAATGCCAAGAGGCCAGTGTACAAAACCCACGCAGCTAAGAACAGAAGTATACGGAGTATTTTTATACTCTTGGTGACTAAAATATTTCTTTCTCAAGTCACTAATTAGAAAGGGAACAGTTTGTATTTTGAAGGTGAAATGGTAGGTCAGTACTTCATAACTACAGAAGTTATACCAGCCTATATAAGTAGTGTAGTGCTCTAGTGCTGCTTTGCACTATAGTGTTAAGGACAAATGCCTTTGGGGGTTGTAAAGATGAACTGGCAAATGCTTCTATCTTATTTACAAATAAGATAGAAGGATTCACTCAGAATGTTGTAGCTTTCTCATGGCCAATAAAATGACAGTGGACATACTAGGATCGTACCCTCAGCATCTCCTTGCTAGTCCTACATTGCTTGGGTATCAGCAGTGGTTGGAGACTCTAGGATTGAGAGTGGAATTTCCACTTGTTTTTCTGGTTTTCATGTTAGACCTCCTCTGCTTTACTGAGGTATACACCTGAATTGACAGCTTTCTTCAAAAAGAGTGTGTCTTTCTGGAAACTCTCACTTGTGATGTTGAAATGGAGTTTGAATATTGCTTAATCTGTTTTGTGGCCTAAAGCTCAACTCCATACTTTTCCTCCAAGAGTTAGAACTGAATAGGTGAGAACAAAACATGGGAATGCTGGGTGTATAGACCCGCTTTACAGAAAAGATGAAAGGAATGGCAGATGAAGGTACTCTTGACATGATAGAGAAACTTCTCAGTTCTTAATTTCTTAAATCAGGAATGACGGTCTTTTTCCTTAATTCTCCCCATTTTTTTTTTGTTTTTTTCCCCCCTTGCTTTTTAACACTATGCAGTCCTTTTTATGTAAAACAAATGTCTATCTGACCTTTATATTATACTCCATTTTCCTTTCCAACACAAGTAAAAAAAAACCTACTATCTTTAGCAGCCCATAAGTAGGGGAGCAGGGGAGAGAGAGGGGAAAGCAGAGGCAGGTAGTCAAACTTTTTTTTTTAACAGAACTGTGTTCATGTCTGACTTTGCCATATTTCAGTGGTATTGAAGTAATGGCATCTTGCTTTTTTCATTTGTACAGTTAGCAAGAACGAGCGTGAGTGTATGCATGTGTACATGTGCATGGTGAGCAATTAAAAAAAGATGCATAGATGATGTGTTTTCTTAACGTAGTAAGTGTCACTAAATAAAGGCATCTACCTGGACACGCAGCACACATTCCCCTTGATGTGACAGAAAGTCCAGATGTTTCCCTCTGAAACCTGTTCACATTGCACACTGCCGAGCACTCGTAAAGCAGTCATGTGAATTCCTGTCTGAGGTCTATCCTATTAGCAGTTGTCGACTGAAAGTTGTCGTGCCATGTCATTTTGTGTGTATGCATAGACTGTCTGGCCTTTCTGTAAGACAGCTGTGTCTCGGTACAAGAAATTTTAGTAGGCTTTATTGTATCTAGCCTTCAAGTGCCATTTTTGTTCAGTGGAATTCCAGCTTTGAATGTTTTTTTTTAAATACTGTAAGTTAGATAGTCTTAAAGGGAGTTCAAGGAACACAATTTGTTGAAGTGGTCTTCTGCTGGAGGGCCAAAGGAATCCCCCTTCCCTGGGAGTGTAACGGCCCTAATCACCCTGCAGGCACGATAAGGTGCAAGTGAGCGGGGTCAGTTTGCCCTCAGAGGGCCACGCAGCGATGTAAGTACATCATGGTTTCTCTGAGATTTGCTGAGCCTTCCAAAGGGCAAATTACCTGGTGTTACGTGCCTGAAGAGAAATATGTATCCAGGGCCAAAAACATTGCCTTGGGCCATCAAAAACAAAACCCTGTGACTCTGAGTCACTGTGTGTGTGACACCCCTAAAGCATTTCAGCTGATCTTTCCTTTTTCTCCCCCCCCTTCTATACATGCTGATAGAGATGGGTTTGTGCAAACACTTGGACAAAGCTCTCCAAGTTAAAAAGGACGGTGATACTGAACCATGCAAACGCGCAGCCCCTTAAATTCCTTGGTAAACTGCATTGGAGCCTCTTCTGACTGCAGATATTTCTGTTCCTTTGTGAAGTCTGTTTAGCTCCACGTACGTGTGTTGAACGGCCTCTATTTTTGTACAAGCACTGCTCATCTGGATATGTTCCCAACTTGATTGTTCACGCTGCAAACATGTCCATTGGGTGTAAAGAAATTGCTATTTTTCCTTTTTAAATTGTCTGCTTGATTCTACAAGAGAACAGACTACCTGCTTTTGTAGCCTAAATATGTATGTAGCTAAGTATGTTATGCTTTTCATTTCTTGCAAATAAATATTTTCTGTAGAAAAAGCAAGTACAATTTGTTTGCTTTCCTTTTGGTTGGAAAAGATCTAGTCTTCTGGCTTTTGCAAGTGCAGCACCATGTGCAATATATTTGTCTTAACACAGCAGAACCCCAGCAATTTCACATGTTGCTACACAGAGAAGGTTAAAAGCAGTGATGTGGATTTTTACAGAAGCTGGCTGCCTCTCTTTTTGAGATTACTGGAGGATTGTATCTGTCAATAATGGGTGGAAATTAGACAAAGGCTGATGGCGTTTAATAACCATAATGGCACCTGAGTGTGACTGTGCAATACAGCGGCATTAATATTAAAGTTTTCTCTCTATCTAAAAGTGGGATCCAAGCAGGCTGATGCTCAAGGGGGCACTAGCTTCAGCCTAGTGAGACCAGTCTGCCAGAGCAAGAACTTAATTTAGGTGGGCCCAGTAGCTCTCAGGACAGCCAGGCCTTTCACTGCATTGACTTGTACTGGGCAACTAATCACTTAAGCTGAAGCGAGTCTTTCTGAAGAGCTCTTTCTGCTCTGGCTTTAGGGGATGGGTCCTTCTCTGGCCTCGGCTTCCCTCCCTCACCCTGACTGACCGCCCACTTAGGAGCTTTCTGTAGCAATTCCCAAAGGCTGCCGCTTTGCATATGCGAACGGTCGACATTATGCCCCACAGCCCAGAAGCGGCATCCAGCCAGGGGACAGCACTGACCTTTCTGTACACATTTGACTAAATGCAGAAACAGAAAATACCTCATTTCTTCGAGTTTGGGGACTTTGCAGCTTTGCTGGTGCTCCAGGGAACTTGGTAATTGATAGCACAATGCAGATGTGAAAAATACCATTTGTAGAGCTGGTTTTAGAAGGGTATAGTCTTTTTTTTTTGTATTACATCATTTTTTTTTTTTTACCAAGGAAGGGACCTCTTGTATGTGCATCCATATTGTATCCATCTTGTATCTGTGCATCCATATTTTGGCAACAAAGAGCTTATCCTCTGCAGGAAATACTAGCAATGGAAGTAACAGATTCCATTTTACCGAACAGAAAACAGGAGCCTGACAAATAAATGGTTTCAGCGCTTCCTTTTTGAGTCATCTTAAAGAAGGTTACTTTAGAGGTTGTGGAAGGCAGAGTACCATGAAGACTGGAATACCCAGCCTGTGCTAAATTGGTGACTGACACGGATTTTCAAAAGTGCCTTGGTTTGGGGCCAAAGAGGTTAAAGTAGCACAAGAAATCTGCAATGAAGCAAAAAAGAAAAGCTCTCCTCCCCTGAGCTCTAGCCTTGTGCTTTTAACCCAGGGTTTGTCTTGGCGTCTGCTATCACAAGAGAAAGAAATTGGAATCAGAGATTTTTTTGGTCTGTCCCATCTAGCATGCAGCGCTGTAGCAGAACACTCTCCTAGGTGGAGCCCAGTTCCAGCAGAGGAGCCTTTTATCAAAAAGTCCTTTGGCCACAGCAGATGACTAAGCAGCTTTTTCACACAAACTTTTATCTGTTTAGCTGAGTGAAGGAGGTCTGTGGTGCTTTCTCTTGAAGGTGGGAGGAAAAAGGCTTTATTTTGTCCTTGAAGTTCTGCATCTGGTTCATTTTCTCCGCTCTCATCGCTTCTGAGGTTGTTGCAACCTCTGTCTTTCTGCCACTGGGGGCCCCTGGCTTTCTGAACAGATAATTTCACTTGCCAGAACTATTGATCTGGGACAGCTGTTAGTAGCATCAAGCCATATGTAACGTTTTTAGGGGAAAACTGTTATAACGTGACTGATTGGGGAAGTTACCCTCAGCTTAGTTTTAGCTGAGCTCAGTGCCTCTGAGAATACAAAATACCAACTGGTGGTTAATGATTGGTTAAGAATCTCATCAGGTCTTAGCATTACCCTTAAAGAATCATACAGCAGGCGATACTGCAGGGAGTCTGTGATTAAAAAAGAAACCCACATACGACAGAGAAATGCTGGGTGATGAGCTGTCAAGTTCACTACCTATCACCCTCCAGTACATGCTGTTTTTTGAAAAGTGTGTTACTGCTTGAATTTAAGGCTGAATTCTAATGCTCCTTCTCAGGCTGCCTTTGCCTCCTGCCTTTGCAGGGCAGGAGGAAGGGTGTCCAAATACAGCGTGCAGTGCTTCTCCCAGCATGGTTTGGGCAGTAAGTCTTCACCCTTTGCTGTGACACAAGCATCGTGCCTATTTTATAATGGCACAGGCTTCACCAACCATTCCAGATGTTCAATGGTAGATTCACTAGCACCCTCTTTTTTTTTTTTTTTTTTGGCTATTTGATTTTGGTGGTTTAGAAATACGGACCTCACTAACTTGAAGTCTAGGAGCAGGCAGCAAAAGCTTAGACCTTTGCTATAAATATGATTATTCTGCACTAGCCATGTCCAGTAGGGAAGAGAGCACTGGACAGTGATGGAGGAAACTGGCTTCTGGGTCTAGTGCTCCTCATGGCATGCTGCTCAATTTGGTTAACTCTTCTCCATGCTTCAGTTTCCTGGTCTGTGAAATGAAGCCAATGATAACTTCCCTCATCTATATAAAGCCGATGGAGATTAACCAAGGAAGGGTGATCTATAAGGAGCTAGTAATTAAAAAAAAAAGCATGTTTCACTTCATGTTAAATGAATAATACTTATGTGTCTCGCTTCCCTCCAGTTCGTGCTTCAAAAAGTTAAATCTACTCTGTGATCGGCTTCATTTTTCAGTTTCTTGGTGCTGTCTTGTGTGGGCTTCAGAGAGTCCATACATGAGCCATTTTTTAATGAATGAGTTGTTTACCTTTTTGTCATTGTATTCATCTTAAATTGTATTTACGTGAGTTCTATATGTTGCTATAAAACTACTTTTTTGTGTATGTCTGGATCTTATTTTTGCTGTGCTATAACTGAGAAAAAAAAATCATTGCAGAATAACACTAAGGTTGTTGGGCTGTTTCACTTCCAATTGCTAAAGTAATGTTTAGCAGCTGGTTAGTCCTTTTTTTAAACCTTTTCTGTAGGCACTTGGGTTTGACCCGTGTAATTTGTGAAGGGGCGGCCCCCAGTAATGCCAAGCCAGAATCAGGGCCTTCTTATCGGAGCCACTGGGCACTGTAGCAACAGGAATCAGGGAATATTTCTCAGAACGGCAGTCTACATGCAGAAAATGCACGAAAGGGAGGCGGTACTGGAAAGTAGCAGATAACAAAATAGAATTTAGTAGAGGGTGGAAATGAGTACGTCACCAGATTGCTCACCAGCACCAGTGTTGGCAGAACTGCAGTGTGAAGCTGCTCTATCCAACAAGATAAAGGTGAAAGCATATTACTACATGTTAAGCCTCAGCCACCATCGGTTATGCTGATGGATGAGCAGTGCTCTACTTGAACTGCAAAAACATTGACCGAAAGTTAATGTTTTCTGGGGCATATCTCTCTACACTAGCTGGCTGCAGTTTCAGCCTTGTTTAAAAAAAAAAAAAAAGTGTGGATACACATACACATGCATGTGTTTTTGTATAAATATAATGTATTTATGTATTTTTCCTGGCGTCTGCTGTGTTGTCCTAAGCGTGAATTTTGTATCACCCTCATGTAATTTGGACCATTTAAAATGGACTCACTCTTTGCTGCCTAAGCTGGCACACCAAACAAATAAGGTTACCTTACCCCCTTCTCCCCATTCCATTTTTTAATATATTGACCTCTTTATTATTAAGAAAAGGATTTTCAGTCCCTCCCATTCTAAGTAAAACTTACTGCAACATACACAGCCTGTGCACACTGAAGTGTTCAGAGTGGGATTTAAGAGACATGAGAGGCAGAATAAGCCTTCTCTTGGCTTTCCTCCACGAAGCTGAATTCTCTCCTTTCTGAGCATTTCCTGTTTCATTCGCACCATCCACTCTGCTATTGAAGGCAGGTGGTACAGCTATAAGTTTCCACCCAGAAAAAGCACTTGCCACCTGCTGAAGCTTGTCAGCACTCCCAAATGAGCAGAGGAGTCAGTGCAGAGCGATGCAAGGTGCTCCCGTTATCCCAACAACTGAGCCCTTGCTAAAGTCACCAGCTTGAGAAATGAGCTACTGGCAGTGGGAATTCAGGCTTTTGCCAGCACAGCGCTCCCAGATACTGGCAAAACCTGCTAAGAATCTATTTTTGTGCTATCCTTTTCCTCCTGATCCAGTCGTAAGGCTGCAGAAACATCTGCCAGTAAACGTGAGGCTCTGAGGAAGTTTCTGCTGTTGTTGCCGCCCTTCTAAAATGGCAGGAATTGACAGCTATGCCACAGGTGTAGTTGTGTAAGCAGGGCTTTCCTTCACTAGCCTCAGATTCAGTAAGAGGTATAGGAAGTTGATTTAGCACTTTATATTGCAAAGGAGTCGTGCAAATTGCAGCAGTCAGAGGGAAAACAGGTAATCCCAGTGCAGAGTTTAAATGTAGTAACGTGGGCAAAATTATCACTGACAAGTAGGAGCTACGCTATGGTTTATGCTGGAGGAGGGGTGCACGGCCCAATGGCATGGATGTTAGCTGACGGGGAGTTAGGAGATACTGGTTTCTTGTTAGGCTTTGCACCAGGTGCTCTGGGGACACTGGAGCAATTTTCAGGGGCACAGAGCTGTTCAGCTATGGACCGAAGGCTAAGAGAGCTGTGACGTCTTGTAGTTGTTCTGCTCTCAAAGTGCAAAATTAATTTGGAATTAAGTATTTTTGCACATGCTATCAGCGTCTCCTAGTAGGGACAGCACATAGGTTTTTCACCAATGACAAAACCTTGAAGATACCTTTGATAGCTAGAGAGGGGCTTATGCTACCACTCCTCATCCTCAAAGCTGGATGTTGGGATAGGACAGAACTTGATGATATTTCCATCTCAAAATGGTTTAGTGTCCCCTGGAAGTTCAGCTGAGGACTTTCCAGTTGAGGTCTCAGCTCTGCATGGACAAGGTGTTGATGGTTTCAGTGGAGCCCCGTGCTGGTTGGCAGATCTCTTTGCGGGATGCTCAGAGCAGGACCAGTTCTGCAGTTAAGAGTTT